TTAGCCAACAGACATGAAGGCTTTTAGCTTATGATGTGTTGACCTGAACTGCTCTCAGGGTCGTGTATTTAAGTCTCGTATAAACCTTAGCAGGAGTGATTTGATGTTATGCCACAGGGTTTTAATGAGCCTTGCTAGATCCAGTGTCTGTTTGCCCTGCAACAGTGGTTTTAGATGGGGGGGATGTGGCAAAGATATAGACAAAGGGGCTTTTCTTCTAGGTTATATCCACTCTTCCTCATCATGTTGCCTCTTTAGATCTTTTTTTCTTCAAACAACAAACAGAACTGGGCAATAGAAACACCCTGGTCCTGGTTCCCTCAGATGCATGCCCAACACTATTGGCTTCCATTAGTTTAAGCAGAGTTAATGTATGTGTGAAATAGTTTGTGTGAGGTTCAGTGTGTTCTTTGGAGAGTCTTTTCTGGCTGGAAGTAACATTTGTATGATTTCCTCAGGTATGGCCTCTACGTGCTTACAAATCCCCCATCTTGTGGGTAATTTTTTCCAGAAATCGGAGTTTTGCTATTGCAGGGCTCGCAGCTCCGAAATTCTTTTCCTGCAGAGCTGAGTCAGGAGCAGAAATTCCCACGGAAGCCCAGGAAAGTGGTGGCCCAGATTTTGGGTGCCCGCAGCATCTGGTGCGGCTGTGTTGGGGAGCAGAGATGGAGCGTGGTGCTTCCCGCGCCGCTGCCGGCCCCCGCGGAGGTTGTGCCGCTCGGGAAGCGTGGGCTGCTGCCTCTGCACCCAGCCGAGGGACCCGGCTCCCCCACCCACCGCCAGGAGACAAATAGCATAAATAGCTGATGAAAAATTCCTGGCGAAACATTTTCTGTTGGAAAACGCTGTTTTGTCAAAATCTTAGCTGCGTGATATAATATTTGACGGAGAAGTTTTGAAAGATTCATTTTGACTTGTTTCATTTAAATAATGTCAAAATACTTGATTTAGATGTTCTTGTTTGGTTTTGACTTTTATTATTCTAATGTGGAAGTGATTTTACTTAAACATTCATCAGGAGAAATGTTTCAATCTCATTGAAGTAACATGTTTTGATATTTCTGAATCACTCATTTCTGGAATTTCTGCTCTGCTAAATATTTCATGAATTTCATGATGTATGAGAAGAAATCTAGGAACCAGAGGATTTTCTCAGGACAGAAATTCCATTTTCTGGCCTCTCTAATGTAATAAAACGTGCCTGCTTTGTTTGCCTGCTGCTAACAAGGAGATCACGTGCACGGTGGAAAACGTGAGCTCTAATTCTTCATTTCTCTCCCATTTTCAAACCTGTGATTTCACTCTGTAGAGCTGTTCTTGCTGGGTTCATGCAGTGTGACCTGAAAGGACTACACAAGCTCACGAGTGAGGGGGGTCCTGGGAGGGAGGAGACCATTCAATCAGTGCCTCGAGAGCATCCGTGTTACCTTTATTCTTTCTCAGCAGAGGCTCAAAGGGGGGTTATTTTTCTTTGCTTGGCTGCATTTTTTTCTGAGTGTCTGGTAGCCTGAGCATGTCCTCGTTTTACAAAAGCAGTGAATATGCTGAACACTTGTAGCTCCCTTTAGCTTCTGCAGCGCTTCAGGTCGGTGATGAAGAAGTGCTGGTGCTTCTGCTCCCCACGGCCCCGTCGAGGCCGGGTACAGAGTGGGCTGGGAGGTGACTGCCCGGCTCACCCAGCCCCTATCGCCCTGTGCGTGGTTTTAAGAGATGGCTGGAGTGACGTGGTAGCATCCATCTCATCCTGACCCAGTATCGGCAACTGGAGGGTGCTGGGACGTCCAGCGTGTCCATCCCCGGGGCACCCCGTGTCACCATGGTGATGGCAGGAGCTGGAGATGCCGAAGGGCGCCCTGGAGCACACCCTGCCCTCAGTGCTGGCTGCTGAGACTCTGTTTCAGGACTTCACGGTGCAGGAAGGAAAGGAATAACAAAAATTAATTTTCAGAGGCTGTTGACTTGTAGCAGAAAGTGTTACCAGTGTCCCGTGTCTGTCGGGACACAACGATATGTGTTTAAAATATGCACGCTGCCCTTTGAGCTTGTTCTTATTTCTTGAGTTTTAAAGCTGAGTTTTCTTTCCATGATTTTCACTATTTGTCTCCTGGGTTTTTTTTTTGGAGAGTAATGTACAGTTCAGTGCTACTTTAATATCCAAACTGTTTTATCTTTTGTCCCTTATATGCAAGTACAAATCTTAAACATTTGGATTTTCAAAGCCTGCAGAAAGCTACGTAAATCCTGGCAAACTGTTTTCACTGGCAGGCTAAAAAAGAAACCTATTTCGTGAAAACTTTAATATTAATTTATGTTAAATTATTTTGGGCATGCTTCGTTACCTGGCAGTGACTTTTTAGTTCAAGATGCAGAGAGGCGTAGCAGGAGCTTGGTGCCTTGTTGTGACTTCTATTCAAAATCCACCTGTATCTTAGTTGCCTGAAGTCAGCATAATAATGAGGTGCTTGTTGTTATTCAAACCAAATTGGAATATTAGATGGAGTAACGCAGATCTCGGATTATGCGATTTTTCCTCTGCAAAGAAAATGTCATAAAAGAAGTTTCCAATTTGGTGTAAGAAATTGAAAACGGGGAGAGAAGACAGCGAGGCTGATCACAGATGATGGGGATAAAAACTAGAGAACGTGGAAGACGAATGTGAAGCGGATGAATAATGTGGGAGCGCTGAGGAGGCTGTAAGGGGATGAAGTTTTGTAGCTAATAGTGATGCAGAGCTGGGGGGCCCTTTAGAAATGAAATTGTACAGAGCAGAGATAACAGAAAATTGTGTCCGTGATTTTCCTGAAGTCAAAACACATGTGCAGCAAGAGATTAACCGTGTGTTTCTGTGCAATAAGGTGTCAGCTGTCTGCTTCGGGGTGCCTGGAGAACTGGAAACAGGGGTGGGAAGGGGGGACAACAGCCATGGCCATCCAGCACACATCCCCTGGCCAAGTCCCCTTTGCCCAAAATCCCTGTAGTGGCACATGGTCTGCCTGCTGCAAAAGAAGCCCTGGAAGCAGACACGGATGAGGATCCCCGTGGGTATCGCTGCGTTTTGCATTTGTGTGATCAGTTTAAGGACAAGGGAGCAATTCAAGGTTATTAGGGCTTTTCAGTGACAGTGGGAAAACTCATGTGTTGGACAGATCCGGCTGTGCCCTGTGCCGCTGCTGACCCCCTTCCCGCAGGGACGGAGCGGAGGGGACCAGCGGTCCCTCGGGATGCCATGGGGGTCGAGTGCTGACCGGCAGCACGTGGCACACGGGTATGGCAGTGTGGCACCAGCTTGGCGTCAGAGCGCTCCTCCCATGTGGTTTTTGTTTTCTCTCTTTCAGAGATTGACCAAGGGAGCTGCGGCGATCCCGGGATCCCAGCCTACGGCAGGAGGGAAGGATCCACGTTCCGTCACGGGGACAGTTTGAAGTTCGAGTGCCAGCCTGCCTTTGAGTTGAAGGGACAGAAAACAATTACCTGCCAAAAGAGTAGCCAGTGGTCTGCTCAGAAACCAGTTTGTGTTTGTAAGTCAGTGAGGAGAGACGGCTCTAAAGTATCTGTGTGCTGAGGTGGGCACAGCAGCGGTATGTTCGTGCCCTGTGTGTGGTGCCCGGGATAGGGCACGTTCTTGTGGTGGCAGAGATGGCACCAAACTGCAGCTTCACTCACCTGAAGCCATGGGGAGAGTTTGGTTTGGCTCTTCCCGCAGCAGAGATGGGGTGAGCAGTGGGAGCAGCGTCCAGATGAAGATGGGGGGCTGTGCTGACCCTGTGTGCCCTGCCAGCTCTGCCCCTCTGCCCTCCTGGCGCTCTGGTTCACATCCCTTCTGGGGAGAAAGTAGGGCTTTGGTGTTGAAGGCAAGAGGCATGGACACAAAAATATTAATAATTTAAAGCTTGACTCTATTTTTGGCCATTTAATTTTCCTTCATTATCTGACAATATTCAGGCTCCCTGCTGCTGGACTTCAATTTTTAATTTGTTGCATGAGTTCTCAGCAGAAGTAGGATATTATGCTCTCGGTAATGACTAAGGATAAAATTTTCCCATGTAAATGGGAGCTACATGCACAGTCCCCATTGGGTTTTAATGGTCTCCCTGTCCTTTGAAGGTGCATTGGGCAATCTGCTTTATTATGTCGACTGAACCTTCGCTCAGAAATAATGTTGTATTTGGACATTACCAAAACTCACAAAAGTATCTGTATATTCCCCAATTGGTGGCAAGCAAACTCTTCTTTTTGTCTTATCTCTGCTTAGTAGGATACGTTAAAGTCTGTGCCTTTCAATAGTTACTGTGGTGTAAGGGAGCGAGACTGAACCTAACAAAAAAATAGGGAAAATTCAGTGGAGCAACAGACAAATGATAAAAATATGGGGGAAATGGATAGAGAGAAAAGAAATGTTAATTTTTAAAAGCATGTATTCACTATGCAGATAAATAGATATGCTGGTGTTAGATTCTCCAGTACAAAATGCTCATTTGTGGTGTGGCAGGACTCGATCCGTACCGAAGGGATTGCACAGCTCGGGGGGAGCAAACCCTTTGGAGCTGAACGTGGGTTCTTCAGGAGCTGTGGGAGAAGTGGGAGCTTTAGCGTCCCTGCACTGGCAGTTTATGGCAGAACATGGGAAACCAGTTACAAGTAACTGCCTTGCTTTCCAAACACTGATTTAAGCTCGGAGTGTTTGAGAAGGTCTGTTGGGGAAAGGAAGCAATGACTTTGTTTTGCCTTTTCCAGATGCTGTGACTCCCTCCCTGCTTGGTGTTCTGTGTAAGCAAATCAGCTAAGGATGCTGATGGGGAATATGGAATTTCTCTGGTTACCTTTGAAGTGGGAAGTGTTAAGACCGTTTCTGTGCTTAGGGTTAGAAGTTGGTGGTTTGGTTTTTTTTTTTCCTTTCCTAGAAGTTGAAATGAATTTGAACAGCTGATGGTCTGGTTGAGGTTCTTGCTGGCAGTTTGCAGTGAGACTAAACCTGTAGTTTGTGCCCAGTATGAGAGGGTTGGGTCATAGTAGTATAGAAGGGAGACTTTCCAGTAAAGTAGAAATATTTTTTTGTAGATAGATGCTGAACAGGGGCATCAAATCAAACCCCAGTCAGCAGTCTGTGCCAAGCATACCACAGGTGTGAATCTTTTAGTTAAAATAAGTCTGTGGTAGTCTGTTCTCTGTGGCCCTCTGGTTTTGGGTATTTATGAATCAACAAGACAACACATAGGTAGTGGAAAAAGTATTTCCTACCCCTCTCTACACCTTTACTCCCTTGCTTTTATTCTAGACAGCATCATATTAGTGTGTGTGAATCAGAGAGGCTGCATGACAAAATGTGTAACCCGGCATGAAATCCGTGGTGGGATTAGTAACGACTCTGTGAATGTTGGGAGAGCGTTAAATGTGTTCGGTGTGAGGTGGCAAAATAAGGTACCCTGATGTCTGTGCTGCTGGCTGGAATCTGCAAACAAGTCAGTGCTGCTGATTCCGGCCGCAAACGTGTGACAAACGCAGACGGAGATGAAGCCGCGCGCGGCGGTGCGTCCTGCTGTCCTGAGCAGGTGATTTATGAGCAGACAGAATTTATTGTGGAGAACTCATTTCCTGGCGCTCCGATGACAAAGCAACACAAACCGTTTAAGTAATGCGTCTGCTTATTGCAGCGGGTTCTTAACTCGTGGCTGGCTGTGCCTTCGTGATAACAGACCTTCCATCTTCATCCTCTTTGTGTCATCGCATCCCTTAACCCGCCAGGGTGAGCACAGAGGGCACTTCAGAAATTTTGCAAGACTTTCTTAGCGCGTGTCTTCTGCAAACCCCTTCTAAGCAGGGTATCCCTGGCATCGCTGTGCGTGTTCAGATTCTCTCTGCTGATCCGAGATACTTGGAACAACTGACCTGGAGCCCGGGAACCTGCAGTGCTGTAGCTGGATGGGGTAGCACAATCCTCCATCTGTCTGTTCTCTGAGCTTGGTGTCTGCTGCTGTGCTACGTGTCTGGTCTCAGTGGTGACTGGATACTGAAGACCTCTCTTTTTCCCTGTTCTGCAGCACCTCAGAGTGCTTGAATCAGCTTTGTAGTTACCGTCGTTCGCTCTGACACTTGCATTTTCAAAGTTACAGACCTGTGGTATCTATCAAAGGCTGTGGCAGTTCCATAACCCAGGATAACCTGAGCCATTGCTTTCGTACAGAGCTATGTTGGGGTTTCTGGAGGGGCAGCAAATGGAGGGACAGCAAATGGGCTTAGGAGATGTCACACAGATAAGAGTTACCTGAGGAGAACCATTGCGCTACTTAGGTGAAGCTTGTGCTCTGATGGTAGGAACTCATAAGGGGTATAATATTCAAACTGAAGTCTACAGTTACCTGTGGCTGAGGAGATGATTAAGCTTATGAATAGGGAACCAGCCCATAATTACAGCTGTAATGGGAAGCCGGTGGGTTGTTTGGATACTGCAGTGAGAATGATGATGAAAGCCTGGATAGACGTAGCCGGGGCGCAGGGCGTTCCAGCAGTGCCATCACGTTAGGTACATGGTTGGAATTATGTTTAAACATACGTATGTATAGGGGGCAGAAACTCATGATCTGAATTCCGTGTGAACTCTTGCCATGGAAGGCCCTGCTGCAACACATGGTCTGTGACCAACATTTATTTCACAATGTTTGTTTCCTTGCTAAGGAATGGAATTGCTGATGTCCCCTCTGCGGGGGCATAGCGCTCTCAGAGGGTTTCTGCAGCAGTTCAGGAGGTCTTAACAAGGTTCTTTACTATTCCTTTCCAGCAGCTCCCCTTCCCTCCCCTCTTCCTCCTCCCCACAGCCCGGCCCCTCCGAGCCCGTCACCTACAACCCCTGAGCTTCCAGCCCTGCCCCCTCAGCTGAATGGTTGACTCGTGCCAAGCAGTGCCGTCGTTTTACGTGGTAGTGTGGCATAAACCGTCGTGGCGGCGTACATCGTCTGTAACCACCTCCCCGAGCAAAGGCAGAGTTTTTGCCGTGTTTTAACCGTCCTCTGCCAGTTGCTCTGGGAGGGTCGTTTCTGAAACCAGTTTATTTTCTGATACAAGTTGAGTTCATTGATCTCAGACTTCGCAAACGGCAAGTTTTCTGGACCCGTTGCCACGTGTTCCAAAGGTAAATTAAAACATGTGCATCGAGCGAACCTGGGGTGGAGGTTTCTGCACTGAACTTGGGGGGTGGGTTGGTTTGGCGTCGCTTGGCTGCAGCTCCACAAAGACTGAGGACGAACACGTGCACACGTGTGTGTGTATGATGTATACATGTGTATGTTTACATGAGGGGCCGTCATTTGCCTTGTGCTGTTTCAGAGTACTTCTGGGCTCCTCCAGCCCCGTTACATCCATTGATCTGGTAGGGTCGTTGCGGGGGTCTTGGTGTTGCTCTGGTCTTGCTTTAGGATCTTGATGAGTTTCCAGGGACTTTTTGTTGTGTTATTGTGAACTCTTTGTACTGTAGACCCACTTGGAGCTGTAGTCGTGCATAATATTCCTCTAAACAGAGCAGAAGGTGTTTTCCAAAGCGCTTCCAATTGAAATTGTGTTAAATTGTCTTATCTTCTCTGGCTTCAGAGCAGGTGTTATGCTTTCTTCCCTTCGTGTTCACTTGAAAACTTCAACCAGAGCCCATTTCTCTGCACGGATTTGCTCACGCTCGCTGTGACCTGTGGGAACACTGGGAAGCAGTGGTACTGTTGCCCACTGGCACTGGAGATCTGGGCTGCCCAGTTGTGAACGGTGCACTGACCCTCTCAGACCAAACTGAGCACCAACGAAATCCCTCACGTTGGTGAGAGTTGTCTTTGAGTTGGCTCCATCAGGAGGTCAGCACAGCCCAGGATCCCCCGTCCTTCCACGCAGGTGGATGGCACTAATGTGATCGTCCTCTTTGGAAGCTTTATGACTTTGTGCATTTTTCCAGTCTTTTAAACATCTGATTTTCCTTAATACCAGTATAAAATCCCTCTTTTCCTTACTGCTAATTACTGCTTTTTTTTTTTTGTTAATCCCATATGGATCTATTATACCTGCTGAATAATCTTGGCTCCTCTTTGCAAAGAGTGCAGATTTGGGTTCCGAGCTGAGTGGCCAACCTGTTGTGTGCACTGTCTGCTGCAAATGTTCAGGATTAGCAGCTGGAAATGCAAAGTGCAAGAGATGCTTTCCCAGCAATGTACTGCTGAACAGAACCGTGTAATTTCATGTCACTTAACAAGTTTTTCATTTAGCTCTCAATTAAATTGTCAGTTGGTCGTTATTTTCTTTCTCTTTCTTTTTTTCTTTCTTCTCTCTCCTGCTTTTCCTGCCCACTATTCACAGCAACATTTGGAGCCTTCCCTGTGAAGAGTAATTTGGAGAAAAGTATGTCTCAAGTTAGCAGTGACAAAAGCATAGTTTGCCTTTTAAAAAATAATAGCTTTTTAACAGAGAGGGTAGTTAACCCTTGGAACAGTCTCTTGAAGGCAGTGATGGGTTCTCCATACCTAAACATTTATAAATTGAGATTGGA